CAAATGATGAATTTGGAGCATCATCATTTTATCATGCTGATCAAAAGCTCTCAGATACCAATCAAGTTCATTCTGCCTGGGCAGTAGCTCAACAAGTAGTTATTGAGGGCCTGTCTCAATGGACAGGTGGTAGTGAGTGACCATGTCTTTCTTAACAAAGGTGTCAGCAATCTGAAAGCAGGAACACCATATCTTTCTTTTCATAGTAGTAGCTATTTAGTAAATGTTGCTCTGCCTGACAATCACTATTTTTGCCATTGTGCCTATGACAAGGTCATAGGATCTTACATTTTATAACTAGGAGGGACCTTAGAGACTATTGTGTTCAGTTGGGGAAACTGAGGTAAATGGAAGTTAAATGATTTACTTGCCCAGGATTACACAGCTAGTCAATATCTGAGGTAGGATTTGAACCCAGATTTTCTGATTCCAAGTCCAGTGTCCAGTATATCTTGCTTTGTTATTATTCCACTCTTTAGTAAATATTACCAAATGACCTCAGTATTGACAGCTATGAAAAGATTTTATTTGGAAGAATCCTCTTTTAAGGGGAAACAAACTGCGTTCCTCATGATGCCTCATTTCCAAGCACAGAGGATGTTCTTACTGATTATTTTAGAAAAGACATTATTTTAGCCCCCATATATGGTTTTTTGAAACTAAACAGAACAATGTTGTATCTTGTATAGCATATATGTGTGTGCATGTGTGTGTGTGTGTGTGTGTGTGTGTGTATATATATACATATATATGTATATATATATACCCCAAATAATAAATTTAATATAATTTAAAAGTATAACTCCAAGGATATTAGGTTTCAAACTGCAAGGTATCTTAAGTAGCATTTAATCGAACTCCTGTTTTACATCTGAGAAAACCAAAGCCCAGGAAAGTTAAGGAACTTGTCAAAAGAAGTTAGTAGCAGAATCTGGATAGAAATTAAGGTCCTTTGAATTCACACCTAGTATTCTTTTCACTATGATATGCTACTTCTACAATTCTAAATTAGAGTAGATCATAGAATTGTATATATAGACATAGAGGGGACCTTGGGGGCCATTTATTCCAAACACCTTATTATACACGTGGGGAATTCAGTCATTTAGTCAGTCAATAAACATTTATCCAGTGTCTACTATGTGCCAGGCACTGTGATAAGCACTGTTGCTATAAAGAAAGGTCTTTGTTTTCAAGGAGCTAACAATCCAATGGGGAGAAAACATGCATCTATGTACAGAAAAGATACATATATAGGATAAATTGAAGAAAATCAACAGAGGAATAGCACTGGAATCAAGAAAGACTTGAGAAAACAGCTTCTCGATGAAGACAGGATTTTAGCTGTGACTTGAAGGAATCTAGGGAAACTAGGAGGTGGAGATGAAGCAGGAGAGCATTCCAGGATGGGAGATAGCTAAGGAAAGTGACCAGAGTCAGAAGATAGAGTGTCTTGTGTGTGGAACCTTAAGGAGGCCAGTGTCATTGCATTGTAGAATACATGCAAAATGCAAGGTGTAAGAAGAATGGAAAGGGGTATGGGCGGAATAAGGCTTTGGATACCAAAGAGAGGAGTTCATATTTGATCCTGAAGACAATAGGGAGCCACTGGAGTTGATTGGATAAAGGGATAACATATCAAACTTTGCTTTAGGAAGATAAGTTTGATAGCTAAGTGCATGATAGATTTCAATAATGAACATCACTTACTTTTTCTCTAGTGATTCAGAAGACACTTCATCATCTTGAAGTACCTCAGGGTCATCTTTTTAATCTTAATTTCCATTGTATTGTTAAGCTCAGAAGTGGCTTATTAGTGTAATGGAAATTTCCTGTTAAGAGAATTTGGGCTTTGTCCATTTTTATTATATCACCTCTTAACATGTGATTATTTTATTTAGTTGATGATGTTTGGGTAATGTTTTGAGCTTCTGCCATGGTAGGTGTTGCATAAATACTCTTCATTACCTTTATATTAGTCAGCTTTATTCAATCAATGCAGTGACACTTCAGTATTTTGCCAAATATGGAAGTAGTTCTTCATTTCTCTCTTATACCCAGAGGCAACAAGTTCTTTGAAAGTACATTCCATCTAACTCCAGAGGCCATGAGATGGCTTTCTGAGCATCATGATATTTGGAGATTCAACTGATATTGTTAGGGTTGGGGGGACTTAATATTTTTCTAGGGGCAGCTAGGTGGCATAGTAGTTGTAATTCAGATCTGACCTCAGACACTTAATAGCTATGTGACTCTTGGGCAAGTCATTTAACCCTATTTGCCTCAGTTTCCTTATCTATAAAATGAACTGGAGAAGGAAATGGCAAACCACTCCAGTATCATTGCCAAGAAAGTCCCAAATAGGGTCACAAAGAGTAGGTCACTGAAATAACTGAACAATAACAATAACAGTATTTTTCCAAGAACCTGATTTTAGTCTTGAAGAAATTCATCTTGCAAATGATCAGAAGTAATGAAGGAAACTGTAACTTACGGAACATTAATTTAATTGGTTTATGGTATACATTGCCAATAATGGCATTGATCTCCAATTAACTGTTAGTTAATTTCTTTAATTCATATTCCTATTAAACTGGGTGACCTTAACATTGAAGTGGTCGGCAGCTCCCTTCTCTTTCCCCTTCCACATCAGACAACTGAACAGGCATATGCTGTAGATAACAAGTCCAGAAGCCATGGAATTATTGATAAGCAAAGAAATTTCAACATCATTTAAATAAAATGGCAAAGAGATGAATGAGTTGTGATACTTTTAATAGGTGACTTTCCCAAATTACCTTGAAGATCAAAGCTATCAAGCCAAAATAAAAAGAATACACTTTGTTCCCAAGGAACTCCCTTCTATTGACATTTTCCACTTTATTTCATGTTTGATTTTCTGCCCCTTCTGGTGACTCATCTCTTAACTCTTTCTCCCTATAACATTGAATTTTCATGATAGGGGTTTCCCAAGAAACATTTGTGAATTAGTCGACATTTCTATTGTGAAATATATGCCATATATTTAGATTGAAAAGTAAGATGTAAACTGGAGAAAGCAGTGCTGTACGTTTTTGTTCACTTGTTTTTAGCAATACTAAGGATAATCCTTCAGGAAAGAGAGAAACAAACTAATTGTGAGCTGGATCTCAAAAGAAGCATTAAGTAAGGAGGGCAAAGGTTAACATTAGACCAGATGATTGAAACAAGACTTGTTGTTGCCATGTTAGAGTTATCCATACCCATGAACTGAAATCAGCAATCAGGGTTTAAAATTGAGGAAAAGTAATAGAATTAGAATTGTAAAGGCCCTGAGAAGCCGCCTTGTCTAACTCCCTCATTTTATTGGTGAGGAAACTGAGTTGCAGGGCAGTGATATGACTTACCTAAGTCACAAAGTTAATAAATGCTAGAGGCAGGACTTGAACCCGGGTTCCCTGGTTCCAGAGTCAATACTCTTTTCACTGTACTAAACTGGTCAATTTATTAACTTCTTTGGGAAATACAAAGAAATGAGAGAATTCTCTTTCAGGAGACAGAGTGTTATATTGGAAAGAGGGCTGGATTTAGAATCAAAATTAAATTAAACATATAGAAAGCACTCATATACACCAAAATATTTATACCAGCATTTTTTTTTTGTGATGGCAAAGACTTGGAAACAAGGGAGATGCCCATTAATTGAGGAATGAATAGACATTGGTGCATGAATGTAATGGAATATTAATATGTTATAAAATTATGAATGTGGTGAATACAGGGAGCTATATGAACTGATGCAGAAGAAAGTAAACAAAGTCAAAAAAGCAACATACACAATGACTACAATGACATAAACAAAAAAAGCAGCCACAAAAAAATCAAGATTGAATATTATAAAATACAAGAACAAGCATAGCTTGAAAGAAGAGATATGAGAAGACACTTCCACTCCAGCCCTTTGGAGAGATGGGAGGTTGATGAGTGTGGTTTACTGAATATATTTTCAGACTTTTTTCTGATATATTGATGAGTTATACTGAATTTTTTCCTCTTATTTTTCTTTTTGTTTTGCCTTTAAAATATCATCTGAAATAGTCCTCTAGGATGAAGGGAGAGAGATACTGGGGGAAATTTGGGGATACAAATATGATGCCAATAAATATTTTTTAATAAATACATTAAAAAAAAGAACTCAATTCAACAAACATAATTAAGCAATTCACATGTGCCAGACACTATGCTAAGTCCTGAGGATAAAAAAAAAAAGAAAAAAGAGAAAATAGTTCCTGCCTTTAGGAAGCTTATGCTCTATTTACTGGAAGATCTTATATTTTAATCTATAAAGTATAATGCAGAAGAACTGAATGTTTTATTCCCAACTTCCCCTTCTATTCCATGTAAGTTACTCAATTTCTCTGCGTCTCAGTTTTCTCAGTTACAAAATGAAGGGTTAGATCAGATCAAAGAATCATCAATTTAGAGCCATATGCATCATGGGTTTATAGCTTAGAGGCCATGGGGTACAACCCCTTCATTTTACAGATGGAGAAAATGAGTAAAAGAGAAATAAGGTGGCTTGCCCAGAGTCAAATAAGAATTAGATAGCTAATAAGTATCTGAGTTAGGATTTGAATGCAGATCTTCCTGGTTTAAAGTTCAGGGCCCTATCCACTATACCATATTGCCTCTGAGATGAGCTCTAACATCCCTTTCACCTTTGTGATCTTTCTTGTGTATAAGTGATTGTGATGCCTTATTTGTAAATAACAACAAATAAAAAATCATAGTACAATACCTCCCCTACAGAGGGTAAAATGGCTTGGACCTGCATAGATTTCTGGGATTGGGATTTTAAAAATCCTCCAAATCCCAGAAGTCTACACAGGTCTGGGCCATCCTTACCTCCTCTAGGGGGCATTAAAACAGGAGCATGGAAGTCATAAATGCAGGCAAAGAGAATGGCTGTAGCAACACTTATTTCTCAGTTATGTTAACATCTGCTCTCCCTTTGCTTTTAGGTTTGAAGCTTGAAGAAATGCAAGAAAGGTTTGGGGAGGAATTCTTTAATATCTGCTTTGATGAGAATGAGAGAGTCCTTCGGGCCGTAGGCAGCACTTTGCAAGACTTCTTTAATGGCTTTGATGCTTTGCTGGAACATATTAGAACTTCATTTGGACGTCAAGCCACTCTGGAATCTCCGTCTTTCCTATGCAAAGAGCTTCCAGAAGGTTCTCTCATGCTCCACTACTTTCATCCTCACCATATTGTGGGATTTGCAATGCCTGGAATGATAAAGGCTGCAGGAAAGAAATCTACCGTCTGGATTTGGAGGTGGAACAAGTGACCAATGAGAAGCTGTGCTTAGAGGGCTCAAACCCAGGGAATTGCAGCTGCCTCACATTTGTCATTAAGGAATGTGAAAATTCAAACATCACGAAAAACCTTCCACCAGGAACATCCCAAACTCCTGCCGACCTCCGAATCAGCATCAACACGTTCTGTAGAGCTTTCCCCTTCCACCTGATGTTTGACGCCAGCATGCTGGTTCTGCAACTGGGGGAAGGGCTTAGGAAACAGCTCCGATGTGACACTCACAAGAGTCTGAAGTTTGAGGACTGCTTTGACATAGTTTCCCCAAAGATCAATGCCACTTTCGAAAGGGTCCTGCTGAGGCTGTCCACTCCATTTCTGATTCGGACCAAACCAGAGGCTTCTGGTTCTGAAAATAAAGACAAGGTAAGCAGAGGGCAGACTTTAGAGGGGTTGTGAGTACTGGGAGATAATTGTTTTAGTGAATTACATGCTGACTTTACTTGGAATTATTTAGGGGAAAAAATAACTCAAGTGCCATTCAGAAAATCACTGGTCCCTAGATGTATGGGAAAACATTTGGCCCAACTCCCAGCCAAATTGTATCATGTGTCCCTGATGCATTTATTTCAATTTATGAAACAAGAAGATGCTTAATAATGACAGCCATAACAGGAACAGCAATCATAGCACTCATTTGGTTTTCTAATTTTCTAAGTCTGCTGGAAGAAACTCATTGACTAAAGGCAAACCTCATGATACACTTGTTGAGACCTTTGCAAAAATTACATGGGCTTTGGTTGTGGTATCTTTATCGATTACATCCCCCCCTTTCCCCCCGCCCTCCAAAAATAACATTGTTAAGTAAATTTCTGTTATCTCAATACAACAATCTCTGAAATACAATGTTCCAGTCAAATTTCGTTTTGTTATTAGAGATGTATTTCCCTTGGAAAGTACTTTATCCTAAGGCAATAACATCATAAAAAGAAAGTAAAATGCTTTTCAATGTCCCTGTTAGAGGCAAAATATTTTTCAAAGTAGGTAACAAAAATACTTTAATAATCATGAAATACAAATGCAAAACAGCTAGAGATATTTATATTTCAACTTGAATCTTAGAAATTTACTGTTGGGAAGGATGTGATCCTACTTCCTACCCATTTTGGGAGTCCCTTCTATGATGTCCCAAGTAGGTAATCTACTTGCTTTTACTTATTTACAATGAAAGGAAATCTCATTACGTCATAAACTATTTCAGTGCCTTATGCAGGGAATTTCAGTGCCTCATTTCTCTTTCAGACAGTTGTTAAAATTTTCTTCCTGGTATTGATACTTAGCCCTTCCCCCTGTAATTTCTGTCCTCTTATTCTGCCTTTTGGAGCTACACAGGATACAGTTGATTTCTCTTTTAAGGGATAATTCTTAAATTGTTTGAATATAGCTATCATCTTTCCAGGGGTTCACTTACAGCCACCATGGTATGGTGGAAAGAACATTGGTTTTACAATCAGAGGACCTAGATTCAAATTCTGACTCTACCGTTTATTACTTGTGTGTTCTTAGGCAATCAAGCAAAACATTACTTAATTTCTCTGGGCCTCAGTTGCCTCACCTGTAAAATCAGCAATTTGGATTATGACCTTATAGGCCCTTTCTACCTCTCTAGTAAATGACTACCAGAACTATTTAAATTCCCAGCTAATGAGGGTGTAAAATAAATAATGAGCTATTTTTTGTTATTTGTCTCACAGCGTTGTTGAGTTTTATTAATAGGTACGTTAGTTTGGCTGACAAAAGTTGGAGTGTTTGTGTTCCATGTATTATCACTGTATACACAGTGCTGTCTCTTAAGACCTGAGGGTGTGTTTTCCTTTAGTTTTCAGCGATGACTTTAATATGAATTGAAATCATTCTTAGCAGTGAAAACCCATCCTTTTTTCCGCTTTGCCAAAAAAAGTAATTTGCTAATTATGCAGTCACATGACAATGAAACTGACTTTAGTTTTCATTTCTATGTGCCTGAATTCTCTGTGAGCTATTATTATTATTATTATTAATATTATTTTTACTGTACCTACCTGTGATTCCATGAGTATAGGGAGCTCCTAACAAGGAATGCCCTCTATGAAAATAGATCAACACCTTCTCTGCAACTCAAAATCTTGAGAAAGTTTCTTGAGGCACTGAGAAGTGAAATGATTGACTGGGTAGCACAATCTTTGTTTAGCAGAAGTAAGACTACTGTGTATTCTAGAGATTTCTGATCCTGAAGCCAGCTATCTAACCACTATGATATTTAATAGGAATCTAAATACACTTTCCTAATATAAGAATACAATTTGTTAGACCAAATGCTAGTGGAATTACGGCATTGTCTGATCATGGTAATGAGGATATAAGTTTAAACAATGAAACCATCCTTCCTTAAAATGAGTTTACAGTCTAATAGCAAAGGTCCAGGATTTCATTTGTGTGATACAAATCACAAACTTATTCATAATGGTGGAAAAGTCAGAGGAAGTTGTCTGAGGCTCAAAGAAATTAAGCAACTTGCCTGTGGTCAAATATCTAGAAGGTGTCTAAGGCCCTGGATTTGAAGCCAGATATTCATTTTTCAAGTTCAGCCTTCTATACAATAAATCAAGAGTTCTTAAACTTTCTTGTGTGTTACCCCTTTGGCAGTTGGATGAAGCCTGTGGACTCTTTCTCAGAATAATGTTTTTCAATGCATAAAATACGTACAATCACAAGGGAAACCCATTATGTTGAAATATAGTTAACAAAATATTTTTAAAAACAAGTTCATAGGACCTAGGTTAGGAACTTCTACCATAGACAATGTTGCCTTTCTATGTTGTTGTGGTCATAAATTAACCGGACTTTTAGAGTGTCTGCTGTACTCAAGACTTAGAACTCTTCTAGCCAGTTTGGGGAGATACCGAAGAAAAAGTTGTCATGCTTGCGTTTGAGAAATTTATGATCTAGTGTGGGGGCTGGCAATCTATGGCCTACAGGCCAAATCTAACCTGCCACCTTGTTTTTGTATGGTATATGAGCTAGGAATAATTTTTACATTTTAAAATAAAAGATATACCTTATTTTAAGTGTTTTAAAATATTTAAAATAAAGTATGTACTTAAAAAATATAAAAGTCATTCTTAGCTTGTGGGCCATATGAAAAATAGGTGGCTGACTGGAGTTGGTGAGCAGGCCATACTTTGTTGACCCCTGATCTGACGGGATCCACTACCAGTTGCTGATGTTGTAGGTATTGGCACCCTCTCCTGTGGGTAATATCTGAAATTAATGACATTCAACTATTACCTACCTTATGAACCTTCTTTGAGAGAAATCCTTTAGCCTGCTTACTGTGCTTTTTATTTTTCATGTTTCCTTTTCTGGCAAATATTTTTGCTATTTTTTTTTGTGAGACAATTGGGATTAAGTCTGGCAAATTTTTAACCTCCATTTGTGACTTAAGCCTATCAGTGACACACGTAGTTGAATCTAGCTACCAGAGCACAGGAACAAAAAGATTGCTATTGTAGGACAACAGAGGGATGGAGAGATTGGGCTGAGAGTGGCCAATTTCTGTTGAGTCCTGGAAGATGTCATGTGTCAGGAGAGGTGAGGGACTTTCTTTTCTTGTTTCTAAGGATTCCTGTATTTTTCAAACAAGCATTTGTTTAAGTGTACCTGCCACCATGCTAAGTAATAGCAGTAATGTTCTTTTTTCTATACAAAGAAAGACAAAATAGTCCCTGCCCTCAAGGAGTTCACATTCCGCCAGAGAAGACTGGCCAGAGTAGCTGGATCACAGAGTGCATGGAGTGGATAAGTATAAGAAGTCTGGAAATAAAGGAATAGGCCAGGTTATATTGTTTTAACAGTTTGGTGATGGTTCACCTCAACACCCTTTTATTCTTGCCTTGTTTCCTTTCTATTTATTCTCCTTCCACAGAATAGAGGTCAAACTGCATTCAGGGCCAGATGAAGATTAGAGCTAAGAATGTATATTTATTTATGCTGTGGTGTTCAGTATGTTAACATTTAGGCACTAGCCTAAGGGCTTGAGTGCTTATCACACAGACTTATCACACAGGGCCTTGCCTGCAGAAGGTGCTTTAGAAATGTTCTAAATTGAACTGAATTGAATTGAAGGGCGCATAGTGAGAAAAGCTCTTGTATTTTCTGATGTTTTTTGGCAACATTCTCATGTGGACTTACTTAGTTGATAGGCGTTGTGATTACTCTGTGGGAAATACATCATGAGTATAGGAGAAGATTATGGATATTACAGGAGTGACACATTTTTTCTTTTTGTGATGTTTAAGAGGTGCTACTTTCCAACTATGATGGTCATTTCCATTCTATCACAACTCAAAACTCATCTCAAACATCACCTTCTGCATGAGGCATTATTGATGTGTCCTCCTCTCAGCCCCAGCTGCTAGTGCCCTTTCCCTGCAAAGGTTTCCTTTTGTGTCTGTGTGTGTGTGTGTGTGTGTGTGTGTGTGTGTGTATGTGTGTATGTATACACACACACACATACATAACATAATATACATATGGGGAGAGAGGGAGAGGGAGGGAGGAAGAGAGAGAGAGAGAGAGAGAGAGAGAGAGAGAGAGAGAGAGAGAGAGAAAGAGAGAGAGAGAGAGAAAGCGAGCACAGATAGATGGTTATGTGGTACAGTGGATAGAATACCAAGTCCAGAGTCAGGAAGACTTGATTTCAAATTCAGGCTCAGACATTTACTATGTGACCTTGTGCATATCACTTAACCACTATTTGCCTAATTTTCCTCATCTGTAAAATGGAAACAATAATAGCACCTGTCTCCAAGGGTTGTTGTGAGGATCAAATGAGATAATAATTACAAAGCTGTTAGCACAGCATCTGGTAAATATTAAGTTCATGAATGTTAGCTATTATTAGCTTTATATATATACATATATATATATATAATATCTGTCTGTCTATCTATCTATCTATCTATCTACCTATCTATCTATCTATCTATCTATCTGTCTGCTGTCTGTTTGTCTATGCATATTATCTCCTTGAGGACAGGAATTATTTCTTTTCTCTGTATTGCCAGCACCAAGTACATTGCTTGGCCCATAGTAGGCATGTAATGAATGTTTGCTGATTAATTGATTAGTATCTGGGATTTTTGACCATTTCCCTACCTGGGCCCTCTTACCCTCTCCCACCATATAATGGTTCTGAAAATTCCAGATAAATTTCAAATCTATCCTGTAAAATCTAGAAAACAATTAGTCTGTGATTCTTAGTTAAAATTAGATAGTATGTAGATTCCAACAACTACCTTTTATTAATCACATATTTTTGAGGAGCTCTGAGTGACCCTGCTGCAGTGATTTCATCTCATCATATTGCACTTGATTTGACATCATGA